ATGAAATTTATGAACTAAACATTTCAGCAAAATTAGAGAAAGAATATATAAAAACTTACTGAACATTCCTCTACATGTAAGGCCAACATCTGAAGGGGCATTTTCTGGCCACATGACACACAGTTTGCTTTGGGCATCTTACAAAATTCAGGAGCATCATAGGGTAGGGGATCCACTGAAAGAGTTTCCTGAATTGGAACTACGTAGAGAACATTTTTCCCATTGTTGGAAGCAGATTTGAGTGCACGCAAAGTGTAGCCCTCAGCATCAGTAAGCAGCATGGACAGTTTCCGGCGCCCACTTCCACCTTGTTGAATAGAATGTGAATACAGTATTGTCAGTCCCAACACTCTTCTTTTATATAGCACAGCATATCACATTACAATTCACATCACAAGACATCATAGGAATTATAGAAAATCATACTGTTGTCTGTAGCGTCTCAAAACTATAAATATTATATTTACAGTGTTGTCTAGCAGCTACATCAGTGCCACAGGATGTAGCGGGGTTGTGGTTGGGAACCCTGAGTTAACACATAGTAACTTTTAAAAAGGTTTACACTTATTTTTCCCTAACCCACAATAAAAAGATTAATGCAAGTTAAACTGAACAGAGAAGTATATGTTTAGTGAAGCTGGCTTAGTTATCCAAGACCATATGATATTTAATATTTGAGTGATTAGAACATACTTTATAGTGTGGATAGTACATAGCCTTGTTTATATAGCCATATAAATCTGGGGAACATAAGAATGACCCCAATGCTTTAATCTCCCAGTCAGCAAGCAAGAGGCAACTGTACCGGTGGCTTTGTAAAACATCCAGCTTCTCTTCAGGCTTCTCAACTTCGGAAACTCGTCCTCCAGTTGATCAAAAATCTAAATAAGATATAATCACTTGTCATTTGTTATTCTGTCATTTAAAAATATTTGTCTAAGGTCTAAATAAGGTTATACACAACATGCAGAGCCTAATTATAATTCTAAAATGTTTAAGCTATCATTGTATTCTTATACAATCAGAAGGAAAAACCTTACAAAATGTGTGCATCTTACATTTTTGTATGAAAATATACAAACCTGTTGGAGGGATCCTATTACGTTTTTTGAGCTTTTCAGTGGTTTGCCAATCACAATGAAATGGGCCAGTTAACCAATCAGAGCACATATTTTGGAAGGAGTTTCATCATAACTAAACAGAGCGTTCAAGACAGACTGGGACAGGGGTGCCCAAACTCGGTCCTGGTGGGCCGGTGTCCTGCAGAGTTTAACTCCAACCCCAATTAAACAACTGAACCAGCTAATTAAGCTCTTACTAGGCATACTAGAAACTTCCCAGCAGGTGTGTTTAGCAAGTTGGAGCTAAACTCTGCAGGACACCGGCCCTCCAGGACCAAGTTTGGGCACCGCTGGACTAGGAAGAGAGGTGCTGCAATAATGTAAATTAGGGCTAAGTAACTTCAGTCATGGAGGGCCACTGTCCTGCCAGAGTTTAGATCCAACCCTAATCAAACACACCTGAACAAGCTAATCAGTAGCCTTGTCAAGATGCATTGGCATTGTGCAGACTGATTGCCGTATGACAAAGTACCGCAAGAGAAATTCAAAAGCATTAAGAGTCATCAAATCGCTCTTGTGGTACTTGGATGTCATACGCCGATCGGTCTGTGCAGCGCCAATGCATCTTGAACGAGCCTAATGTCTTCAAGATCGCCAGAAAGCTACAGGCAGGTAGGTGTGTTTAATTAGGGTTGGAGCTAAACTCTGCAGGACAGTGGCCCTTCTGGACCAAAGCTACCCATCCCTGATGTAAAATGTGTGACAAATAATGCCTTTTATTGGAACAATCAAGCATGAAAACCTGTTCTAGTACAGTGGTTCCCAAATATGTTCCTGGAGGCCCCCCAACACTGCATGTTTTCCATGTCTCCATAATCAAACACACCTGATTCAGATCATCAGCTCATTAGTAGAGACTCCAAGACCTGAAATGGGTGTGTCAGACAAAGGAGTGATGCAAAATGTGCAGTGTTGGGGGGCCTCCAGGAACGTGGTTGGGAACCACTGTTCTAGTGCATCCCAAAAAACAAATAAAGACTTTGTAAAAGGGCATAATAAGATCCCTTTGAAAACAAATTAATCATCTTACCTCATCATGTTTGGCAGAGTCTTTAAATGTAATGAGTCTCTTGCCAAGTCCGGCATGTGCCAAAACAAGTTCTTCAGAACTGTTTGGAGTGAGTTTGGGTGTGTTTGCAGCAGCTGGTTCAGCTAAAACATATATCTGGAGTTCAGTTGTTTTGATTTGCGTATTGGTGTGTCTTGGCTGTGTCACAAAGCGTCTTTTCCCTCTTGCTTGGTCACCTTGGGAACTAAAAATCGCAGGAAATTGCCTAAATGCATAAGTTAAAACAAGAATTAGTATGTTATGAGAAGATTTGTCAAATCATAAATCATAGCTGGGTTTAGGTGGAAAACTTAAATGCATTTCATGGACATACAGAACAAATACTGTCTAGCTTCATATGATCCAAACCTTTTCAGGGCCTGATTCACTCTAGCATCAGAAGGGATGAGGATGAAGATGAGGATGAGGGCGAGGGCAAAGAGACAGAGTGAGAGGGGAGGTGTGCCTGTGGGGGATTTGATGTGGAGCGGCCTGGTGTCAAATCCCTTGCAATTATTTGGACTAAAGCCCGAGCTGCACTTTCCACCTGTGCAGAAAGGCCCTGCACAAACAGTCATTTTAACAACATGTAACTGAACGGACTGTAAGATAATGTTGTATGGAGTAACCTTTCCAGTTACACATACAATGTTAACAGTAATAATAATAATAACTAGGGCTGCCAACTTTTCACCAGTGATGAGAAGTCCGAATCTTTTCTGTGAACTGGGGCCTGTTTCAATAAGGAGGTTCAACCAACTCTGAGTTTAAACTTGAACTCTGAATTGACTTACCCTGAGATGGGAAATGCTAAGTTTTCGGTTTCAGAACAGATGAACTGAGTTAGTTAAATCTACTCTGAATAGGTTGACTAGGTTGATAGTTTAACACGTGCACCACAACTATGAAAAGCCATGATCAATGGAGCTCCGAAATGATGATTTACCATGGCAACAGCTCCAACCAAAAACACGTCTGCATACTTTGAGCCAATGCTTAACTTTAATTCTTAATATCTGTTATAATATCAAAGGTAAAAACTGTCATAACAGTAAGTTATTGAACTACTATTAATTTTCATGGTATCCCACAGGCAAAAACATAACATACAAACATAATTCAATCAGGTAAAGCTTTAAGCATAAAACGTTCATGGGTGCAGGCTATACATGACTTTACGTTAACATGTTTGACATATTAAATAAATACCATTCAGTGTCTATTTCAATGTGCAGCAGCTTTTTCCACGTAGGCTAATGCTCTCTTCACATAATTAATTGTTCTCTAATGCAAACTGTTGCATTTCTTAATTAGAGTAATGAAATTAACATTTGACTTCTACTGAGCCAACAGCAAGAAGGCTCACAAAATCAGATGAAGAGGAGATGGCCACAATACCAAGTATTGGAAGAATATTAAAATCCAACAGGAAAAATAATAACTGTTGCTTTTGTATTTGTAGGAAATAAAGATGACCAAACAAATTTAACAGCTGTAGTGGTGGTTACAGCATATTTCTCGAACTACCTTTCCATCTGGCATCCTTCCATTCCATACAGTAATCAGCTTTTCAATGGGTTAGTGCTCAGGAAACTACACAAATTCCCAGATAGAGCGTGAGAGCGAGGCACACTTTCTTTACCGCTCTGCATACAAAGCAGGGTAAGTCAAGCCGTTTCTGAAAGAGAAGTAACTTATACTCAGAGTCAGTTACCTTGGTAACTTACTCTGTAAACCTAACCTGGTCAGATTCCTCCCCCTTTTTAAAGTGTAAGCGATGTTTAAATACCTCATTCATTCATTTACGCTGCAAAAATGATTTTCTTAGTGAGTATTTTAGAATGTAAATTTAGTGCAATTTACTTAAAACAAGTAAAATAATCTTAATGCAAATGGAAACAAGATAATTTTTCTTACCCCATTGGCAGATAATTTGCAAAATGAGAAAAATACACTTAAAAGACTAAATGCCGTATGTCATTTTTCTTATGTAGAAAATGCATCTTGATTTAAGAATCTTTAGATATTTTGATTGGAAACAACAAGACAATAATACTAAGTAAGAAAAGCATTTTTGCAGTGCAGGTGCATTCATTCATTACACATATCATGCAGACACTGTGAAAGTGACAAAAACGGCATGTCCTTTTATACATACTAGGATTATTTTATTATTATATACAGGATTATTTAGATTTTTTGCCATATCCACATGCATGCTGCATGTATTTATTTGAGTGGTAGCATTTTTAAATGGTAGTTTTCTATATAACATCAGGGATGCAGAGCACACATTAGTACGGCCACTCTATGCGGAGCGGAAAGTAAAGTGTGCCTCGCTCTCACGCTCTTTAGGAGAATTTTTGTGTAGTTTCCTGAGCACAAACCCATCGAAAATGAAGCTGATTACTGTATGGAATGGAAGGATGCCAGATGGAAAGGTAGTTAGAGAAATATGCTGTAACCACCACCACAACTGTTACATTTTTTTGGTCATCTTTATTTCCTACAAATACAAAAGCAACATTTATTCTTTTTCATGTTGGATTTTAATATTCTTCCAATACTTGGTATTGTGACCATCTCCTTTTCATCTGTTCTTCATTATTTTGCGAGCCTTCTTGCTGTTGGCTGAGTAGAATTCAAATGTTAATTTCATTACTCTAATTAAGAAATGCAACCGTTTGGATTAGAGAGTATATAATTATGTGAAAAGAGCATTAGACTACATGGAAAAAGCTGCTGAACATTGAAATAGACACTGAATGATATTTATTTAATGTCAAATATTTGTAAAGTCATGTAGCCTACACCCATTAACCTTTTATGGTTAAAGCTTTGCCTGATTGAATTGTGTTTTTATACTTCATGTTCAGCTGTTTTATTTCTTTTTTTTTTCTTTTGCCTATGGCATACCATGAAAATTAATATTAGTTCAATAACTTACCGTTCTGCCAGTTTTTACCTTTGATATTATAACAGTGATTAAGAATTAAAGTTACATATTGACTCAGAAGTATGCGGACGTCTTTTTGTCAGGTGCTGTTGCCATGGTGAATCATAATTTTGGAGCTCCATTAACCATGGCTTTTCATAGTCATGGTGCACGTGCTAACCTCAGAGTCAACCTATTAAGAGTTGATTGAACTAACTAAATTCAGCTGTTCTGAACCTAAAAACTAGAGTTTCCCATCTCAGAGTAAGTCAACTCAGAGTTGGTTGAACCTCCTTATTGAAACAGGCCCCTGGACTATAATTTTTGATGTGGTCTTTAAGTCCACATATCTCTGGAGTTTTAGTATGTTGACAAAATGCAGTATTTGGCAAACCTGTTTAAAGAAAAAGGGACAATTTCTATACTCGTCATTGCTGCTGAAGCAATGATGCCTCCGTTCCATCAGTTACTGTTAAATGCTACTTGTGATTGCAAAAGAAAGTATGGATGTACAAGGTACAAGGAGTTGTGCTGAGGGTGCAGGAAAGCTTCCACACATCCACAGAAGCTGACAGAGCCAGATGATAATGGAGTGGGGTAAAAGATTGCCAAGACAAATTAAGGAAGTAATATCGGAGCTCCATTGATCATGGCTTTTCATAGAGTCAACCTACTCAGAGTCGATTGAACTAACTAAATTCAGCTGTTCTGAACCCGAAAACTCAGAGTTTCCCATCTCAGAGTAAGTCAACTCAGAGTTGGTTGAACCTCCTTATTGAAACAGGCCCCTGGACTATAATTTTTGATGTGGTCTTTAAGTCCACATATCTCTGGAGTTTTAGTATGTTGACAAAATGCAGTATTTGGCAAACCTGTTTAAAGAAAAAGGGACAATTTCTATACTCGTCATTGCTGCTGAAGCAATGATGCCTCCGTTCCATCAGTTACTGTTAAATGCTACTTGTGATTGCAAAAGAAAGTATGGATGTACAAGGTACAAGGAGTTGTGCTGAGGGTGCAGGAAAGCTTCCACACATCCACAGAAGCTGACAGAGCCAGATGATAATGGAGTGGGGTAAAAGGTGACACCTGCCATACCCGAATCCACAGAGAGAGGTGAAAGAGAGAGTGTTTTATACTGCTGCGGGATGCTGTTTTGGACAGCTAAAAATTTACTCAAATCAAATCTGATCAATTGGGCGAATAAAAATTAAAAAGCATGTGCTGAAAGTTTGACTAAATTTGTTCCTTGCACTTTGTAATGTAGTCTTTGATCTCATAACTTACAGTCAGCGTGAAATGTTGTTCACAACAATAATTTTACATAATCTGACTTTTGTAGGACGGGACTTCATTTTATCCATCGGGAGTTGATTGGATCAGGTAAAGTGGGCACTACATTTAAAGGGAGGGGTAAAGAAGTGAGACGTCAGCTGAGAGGTAAAGACATTTTACTGGAAGAGCACATAATTACATTTTGATAAAAGATTGCCAAGACAAATTAAGGAATAATATTTAGCAAATGACTCTTTCACATTAAGATCAGGAACATTAATTTAGAAAGTGAATAGGGTCGATTTTGACTTCATGTTGACCAAGTGAACAATACTGTATTATATCCAAAAATAACAGCTATTGCTGCACTGTGAATGAACAAAAAAGTTGTAATATAGCAATGAAGTTTGAGAAAATGCATCTGAATGGGCACATACATTTTTGGGGCAAGTGTGTATAGTTTTAGAGGCTGGCTGAACAACCACTACTTAATTTAGAAAGTGAATAGGGTCGATTTTGACTTCATGTTGACCAAGTGAACAATACTGTATTATATCCAAAAAATAACTTGCTATTGCTGCACTGTGAATGAACAAAAAAGTTGTAATATAGCAATGAAGTTTGAGAAAATGCATCTGAATGGGCACATACATTTTTGAGTCAAGTGTGTATAGTTTTAGAGGCTGGCTGAACAACCACTACTTAATTCAAGCGCATTTCAAAAGAAACGTACAGTGCTGTCAATCCGGACACTTTAAAGCACTTTTATCTAAACATTTTATATAATAACTGGTTCTTCTGTAGTGTTAGTTAAATAAATAAAGAAATAAATAAATAAATAGTTTAAGCATTGTACAAGATAATGAAACCTTTTTTTTTTTCAGTTTCACTAGTAACTATTCATTAGATACTATTACGCATTACAATTATGGCTAGAATCTGTTCAATTAGTAACTGATACCTATTCATTTGTTATTTTTTATTTGCTAACTGTCATGATCCTACTTTTTTTTTTTCATTGAATTTTATTAGGATCTGTTCACATATTAACTATTTCCAACTAGTATGTATTTCTATTTCAGATTTACTAATAATTATACTTTAAGGACTTGGGGTGGGCAATATACCAGTAGACATGATAAACCTGTAGAAATGTGTCAGCTGGTAGCGATTTTGAATTATAGTCTCTATCATGGTTTTTAACTAATTAAATCTAGCATCTGCTCCAGTTTTTAACACGCTAATTTGAATAGACACTAGTATCCGTTTATTAGACCACATCTCAATGCTTCTAATAACATTTAAACATCTTAGTAATAAGATTACAATTGAACTATAAAGTAGCAATTCTAACTAGCCAAAAATAAAATAAATAAATAAAAATATCTAGATAAGAATTGTTACAAGTGACTTCTGGCATAGTGTTTCATAAACAGATACAAATATATAATATACTAATAAAGTTAGAATAACAACTGGAATACATAGTAGTTGGAGCTTGGAGACAAAAAAAAAAAAGAGTTACAACTAAACCACAGTATTTTTTTCATTTACATTTTTTACCCAACCACTGTAT